TGTGTGGGGGGGGGGCTGGTCCATCGTAATTGGGGGAGGGGTTCCATGGTAGCACGGGGTTGTGTGGCTGTGTGTCCATGCTAGTTACGTGTGTGTGTGTGTGTGTGTGTGTGTGTGTGCGTGTGTGTGTGTGTGGTGGGCTGGTCATTGACTCCCTCAGTAGTAAAACGGGTTTACTGAGTGCTTGCGCAAGAGAACGAGTGTGTCAAACGCTTAATGGTTCGCAAAGAGAAATCCGGCGTCTTGGGCAGGTGTCTTGTTGGTGTTGATCCGGGGTGAAGCCAAAATGGCTTCTCAGGTGGAGTCCACAAGCCAAGGGGCAAATCGTGTCTCAGGCCGAGACCGATAAGCCCGATGGCGGTGGCTCCAACGACGTCGCGGTCTCGCGCGACGCCGCATGCCGGGCAACGCGTCAAACGCGTTGCCGAGGAGTATTGTCCTTGCACACCGCAGCAGTAGGTGTACTTGCTGCTGCGGTACTCGCTGGTAGTCTGTGTGTGATTGTGTGTGAGTGTGTGTGCGTGTGAGGTAGTGCATGCACCGACTAACCCTATAATTCACATGGAGACACATCCATACTCTCTCTCACACTCTCTCTCCTCACCTGAACGTCGAGCAGCTTGCTGATGTGTTTGCGAAGTTGTCCCGTTGGGCCGTGCAGACCTGCTCCTCGAGTTCTGAAGCCGTTGCTGTGTGTGAGTGAGTGTGTGAGTGAGTGAGTGAGTGGGTGTGTGGGTGTGTGTGTGAAACAAAGAAAACAACAACGTACCTTGCCGCGTCGCCCCAAAAAACCTTGGCGCCGGGGAATGTTTTAGCGACTCGCAACGCAAACGCGCGCAAGTCCCGCCGCCGTGCCAAAAAGCCATGGAGCAGTTGTTTCCTGTGCCGTCTTGTGAACTTGGTCCGAGTATGCTGGCGGTGTGCCAGCTCCTCAATCGTATGGGGATGTCGTATGGGTCTCTGCTGCTCCACGCCTTGCTGCGCTGCTTGCCATGCTTCCTTGTGTGCCTGCCTTTTCTCCCGTCGCGCCTTTTTCTGCTTCGACGAGAGAAGGCGACAGTGGAGGAAGTTTGCCCAGCGCTGTTGCCTGTAGCGCAGAACCCGCCCCGTCTGTACGCAAGCCAGTGTCACTGGGACGCGTACGCCGGGATCGCACCCAACCACGGTTGGTTGGGCAGTCCTCTGACGCAAGCGACACTTGCGACGGCGACGGCGACGGCGACGACGGGATCTTGTGCGTCGCTGGCTCTTGGTCAACTTGTCCTTGCTGGCATTCTGATCCGCAACGACCTTGCCACCATTCTTGTTCTTGGCAGCCCCCTTCGGCTTCTCCTCTACCTGCAGGCAGACGTGTGCTGCGACTCCGTCCGTTACGAAGGACGTCGCTTCCTTGAGCCGCTCGTGGTCTCGAGGGCGCCTTGGGCTGAAGAAGTCATCAAGGCGAGACCCATCGCCTTGACGGGGTTGTATCTTGAGGAGGCGCAGCGTGGATTTGGAGAAGCGCAGGTGTCTTGTGCCTCGAAACAGGGGAAGGAGCGGTGGGTGCTTGTAACGGATGTGGCTGTGCAGCAGGAAGACAAGGAGACAAGGTGCATGTGAGTGTGTGAGATAGTAGTTGACATGAGCGACGAGCAGTGCACATGGACACATGCATCAGACACACCTGTACTGCCGCAGTGCCTGGTTGACTGCAAACACAAAGCCCAGGCGCTCCTCATTTGTCTTGCAATCTGTGAGCAGGTCTCGCAGCTCAGCGTACTCAAGATCATCCTCAACTGAGTCCTTCTCTTGGTCCTCCTGGTCCTCCTGCTCTTGCTCCTTTGCTTTCTGCCGCACATACCTGAAAGTACGCAGCCAGCGTGCTGGGGCGTGCCTGATGTGGAGTTTCAGGGCTCCTTGAAGCGTTCGGCAGGTCATGTCAAGGAGGTTGTGTGCGATGGCCTTGATCTGTGGTGGCGTGTTGACTGGGGTGGTGGCGTTTGGCATTGTGCGGCTGACGCCGCGAAGGGCCGATGTCTGCCGCGTGAAGGCTGTTGTGGAGACCTTGAGGGCCTCCCATAGGCCTGGTGCTTGGTACGGCTGCTTTTTAGCGCGGACAGCGCGGCGAGGCTGCTTCTTGGAGCATGTTGTGTGGCGAGGACGCTTCTGAGGACGAACAGCGCGCCGAGGCTGCTTCGTGGGAGGAGGCTGAAGCTCACGTGCCAGCACGCGCTGGGCCTCTCTTGTACTGACATCGTGGGCTGGCACCTTCTTCTTGCAGATGACAGCGAGCAGCGTATCAACGTCCTCTGGCCCAAAGCCATCGACCTGCGGGATGGCTGACGACTTGCCTTGACCAGGCCCCTTCCTTCGCCGCCGCCGGCGGCGCTTCCTTTTTCGTTTGCGCTTCTTCTCACTCTTCTCCTTCTCCTTCTCCTTCTTCTTCTTCTCCTCCTCCTCTTTTCGCTTCTTGATTCGCTCTTGGAGCTCGCTCTTCATATCCACTCCCTCTGTGCTCTGTAGCAGCTGCTCCAGCACCTTATCACTCGCCTTGCAGACGAGGTCGCTCACCCACTCCACGTGCTCCACACATTCCGCCACACGTGGGTCAAGGCCCAGGCTGGCAAAGGTCCGTGTCGCAGAGACAAACTTCTTCATGCTGAACAAGCCGGTGAAAATGGAGCAATCGATGGCCTTTTGTTTGGGTTTTGGGTGGGTGTGGTGCTTCGCGCGCGTTCTGCACTCCTCCCGCCGAATTCCCACAACCGGCAATGTTTTTGAAAGGCTTCCACGGTGAGGGGTTTTCACCTCCCTGATTTTGCCAACAAACAAACAAAAAGGAAACAACCAACCAAGAAGGAAACAGGCAAACAAGAAGGAAACAGGCAAACAAGAGAAGGAAACAGGCAAACAAGAGAAGGAAACAGGCAAACAACACCACACACTCTTCTTTTGAAAAATTATGAAGGCGACATGGCGCACGCATGGCGTGCGCCATTTCGCCTTCATATCCGCACCTGCGGCCACATATGGGCCAAAATGTGCCGTGCGGCAATAATGTGCCACATTGTGATGGGAGGTGGGTAAAGCTCATGTGTGTGGGAGCAGCAGCATCATCCCCTCGTGTGTGTGTGTGCATGTGGTGCACTCGCTCCTCAGCTTCCTCTGCACGGTTCACGCAGTCCTTGCACTTCTCTCTTTCTCTCTCTGTCTACACACACACGGATACACGGACACACACAGATACACACACACGGACACACACACAGATACACACGGACACACACGTGCACACACACACACACATGCGCACACACACACACACACGGATACACGGATACACGGACACGCACAGATACACACAGGCACGCTCCCCCCGCCCTCTCCCCCTCTCTCGCTGTTGCTCGTGCGTACACCTTTCTTTGCCGGCTGCTTAGACTATACTTACGCCACCGACGTCTTTGCACCCCCGACCTGCTTGGACGTCAGCCATGAAGCACTGATGCTGATGGCTCGAATAACAGGCCCGTGTGTCCTCAAACGAACGCCAATCCCATGCGCCACGTGAACAGCGGCACTGCCCTTCCAAACAGAACGGCACCCCTCACCCGCTTGTGCAACAAACGGGTCACCTTCTCCTCCCTCCCCGTCAGCTCTCTGCCTTGGCATGTGCGTTGCTCGTGGATGGTAAGATGGTGGGTGTCACCTGCGTTCCATCCACTGCGCCGTGCTG